GGCGGGGCCGGGGGGCCGCGGGGCCGGAGGGGGTTTCCTCGCCCGGTGCTGTGTCCGCTCCCTGCCGGCGCTCGGGAGCGCGCACTTCCCTACCGAACTCCCGTGATGGCTTTAAAACTCCTCGCAGGGGAAGAGAGAGTTACTGGTGTGCTGGCAGGGCTCGGGAGTTTCCTGATGACTTCCCTCAGCACGTTCAGCACTTCGTAAGCATCACAAAGTTTTGTGGCCTTAAAATACACCTCCTCTTTTTTTTTTTTTTTTTTTTCTGACCTGCTGGCCCCGCAGACTTTAACTGAAAGCAATAATGCTTCTGACTAATTTTAACTCAAGCAATAAAGCTATATAAAAGGAGGACATAATTTTCTGCTAATCTCTGCATGTTTTTGGAAAGCAAGAGCGCAAAGCTCTCTTACCATGTCCTCTAACCTCCAGGCTCTGTAATTGCAGGCAAAACAAGCTCTGAGCTTCTGTTGCCCCAGTTTTGCAATTGCAGTAATGCTGTTGACCCACCTCTGTAAAACACTCAAGATCTACTCAAAGGCCACTTGCCAAATTAGAAAGTCAGGCTGAGAGCTGGATTCCCACTGACAACAGTCAATCACTGCTTCTCTCTTCATCCCCAAAATACTTAGCTTTAAGAAAAAGAGGACAGCTCAAGGAGGAGCCACTGAGAATGACAAAGAAAGCCTGTGTGTGTGCACGTTGGGCTTCATTGTGCCCTCATTTAGGGCACAGTAAACCAGGAGAAGGAATTCATTGCAGTGAAGGAAGCTGGAATGAAATAAGCACTTGAGCGGTGCCTTGCAGGCCAAGCTGAGCTATGACCATGGAATTAGACAGCTCTTTAAAGTCCCTGTTGGATGGTCTAGAGAGGGCCAATAGAAATGAGACCACAGCTGAGACCCTAATATACTTACACCTCCTTGCAAGGACACACCAGTATCTGCAGTAACCAGTTGGAAAGATAACCTCAGCTCCTGAGCCCTGTGCCTGTCAGATGTGTGCAGGGAGGGACTGTAACCCCTGCCGCCAGGGCGTGAGACAGACAGTGCTAGGGGAGAGTTGATGGCTGCTGGCTGGGAATGGCTCTGCGGAGGCAGGTTGTGCTTCGTTGCAAGTGGTGCAGGAATTTTGCCCCCCTTGGCGAGCGTGCAAAGAGCTGGGATCTGCCTTACATGCAAAGATGGGCTGAGAGACTCCGGGGACAAAGGGACTGGCTGAGTCCAGGTGGGGAGGAGGGACTGGTGTGTGTGAATACATTTTGATACCTGCTTACAGGCACTACCCTTGTAATGGGGATGCGCTACAAAGTGAGACCTCCCTTTATTTTTGTTTCTGAAGAGGCTTCCAACAACCTCCGAGGGGAATAAAGACATGGGGGTTTTGTCAGCATTAGAGGAGACCAGAGCAGTTCTCTGGGTGTCCACTACAGCAAAAGGGACGTCTGGCACTGCTGTCCTTCAACCTCTCAAGGGAACAGAGTGAGGTTCAGAGACTGAAGGCATATCCAGCCTGTGCAGTGGGAGCCCCCCTCCAGTAGCTTTTCAGGAGCTGGAGGGTGCACTCAGACAGTAGGTGAGTTTTTCACTATTTGCATCTCCCAGTACTGAAACACCAGAAAATCTGGACCAAGGCTCTCAGAGGAGCTAAGGAAAATAATAATCCCTTTAACCCAACTTCCCTGGGTTCAGTTAACTTACCTGGGTGCAGAAGAAGAAATAAAAACAGTGCCAAGTGGCCAAACTTCACCCATAGTTGGGTATTCCTTTAAAAGAAAATACAATAAAACATCCCAGTTGAAACTCAGACACTGACCTGTTAAGTCCTGCTGATTGCTGTCTGTATTTCATACCCAGAGGGCAGGGCTGGGGCCATCTGTGATCACATCAGATATGCAAGGCTGGTCTTCCAACAGTCTGAGGTGAACGTGTTGTTCAGATCTGCAGGGCTAGATGAGGTAAGGGGAAGCACGCCATGAAGATTTTATAGGAATCCTACTTGGACTCAGCTGCAAATATGATCAGCTCCAATGCTAAAACACCCTTTTTAGAAGAACAAACACATTTTCAAGGGGGAAGAGGTACATTATGGCAAGAGCTGTTGGGTGGCAATGACACTAGCTGCTGAGAGGTCAGGGCTTTGCTGTTGCCTATTTCTGTGTGTCTGAGAAACCTCCCCGGTCCCACATGCTGATGACTCGTACCGTCCCCCTTCCCCTGCAGCCCCACCATACAGAAAAGAAAGAGCAACCCCAGCCCCTAAGGCAGACAACGGTGGCTGGTGCTTACCTGAGGAGAGAGGTCACCACAGAAGCGTAGAAGGGCAGAGGATTAAGCGCAAGCTCTCAGACTCCCAAATTATTATCCCAAGCCTACTTCTAAGGGAATCATCAGATTCAGTCTACATGGGAGAAGCCCTCTCTCTCCCTCCTAAAGCCCCACTGGTGACTGGAGAATAACTGAGGCATGAAGTGCACGTGAAAATACAACTACTTAGCAGCACATGTGAAATGAGCGTGGCAGTTTTCTGTGGGTGAGCACTGAGCCTGGCTTTCTTAATCTGCCGCTTTGCCAGGTTAATCTGAAGACTTGAGAAATGAGTATTTGCTAGAGACTGGCAATGGCTCCTTCCCTGCCAGGCTGCGTACTCCCCGTGGAAGGGCCACCCTGCTTCCTGCCTGCACGGTGCCTCCCACCGTGGGGTTCAGACCATGGCTGGAGCTATTTATGACTATAAAGGCAATATTGATCACTGAGAATAATGGTCAAAAGGTACTAAGGACACGGCGTGGGGGAAAATTATTTGTTATTGCCGAGGCCTGGAACTGCATCTGACTTGTAGGTGAAGAGGGAGTGCTTTTTGCCTGCAGGAAGATGCTGTGCCTCTGGTGCAGTGCATGCTTGATTCCCTCCCTGCTCATTAGCAGTGCTCGTTACTGTCTTCTCAGCAGGTTTCTCACAAATGCCTTGCTGTTTCCCAGGACCTTGGTGCCACTGAGTGAGATTAAGCCCAAGCTTTGGTCTGATGACCATGTTGAATAGAAATTAAACATCAGCTAGTTTCAGATGGAAGCTGAGGAATCTGTTGAACTCCTCCCCAAGTCCTGGTTTTCCAGCTACTGTGAAAAGGAGCCTTTCTAGGGGATCTTTTGCTTTTGCACCCAGTTATTTAATTCTGGAGCCTGAATACCACGGGAAGAGTTTACCCTGGCTTCATGCTGGTGAGACCTCCATCTGCTGGTGGCCAGGCACCAGTGCATGCTGTGTTTGCTGCCAGAGTCCCCAGATTTCACCAAGCTAGCAAAGGCTTGGGCAGATATGTAGGGAATTACACTGATGCAGTACAGGCTTTCTTCAGAAACCAACATCTGGGGAGCTACTCACAGAAATGACTGTGGGTATTCTCCTCTCTGTTTTCTAAGCACTGCATTAGACATCACCCTGCCTCCAGGATGCCTACGAGCCCCAATGTGTCCTGATACTCAATGCTTTGTTTCAAATTTTATGGCATCACTGTAATGTGTCAGCTGAGAGGGACCCTGCAAAGCCACAGCTCATCCCCTTCTTGAGCAGATGTAGGTGCAGTTTGTTCTGAAAGTTTCCCAGAGATGGACACCCCGTGATTTTGCCAAGCAATCCCTTCCAGCTCTACAAACCCTCGAAAGGTTTTCCTACCACCTTATCTGAACCATCCTTGTCATAACTGGGACTCAATACATTTTGTCCTGAAAGACAAGCAGGGCACCTGGTTCTGCCACATTTTTGTATTAACCAGGGAAGGTCAATTCTGCTAATATCACCAAGCTGGAATACTTGTTTTCTCAAGCAGTGTATGGATTTTCCACCATCTCCTGTAGTCCTTTTCACCTGCAGAATGTGGATTTGCAAGTATTATTTAATCAAAACACTAGTGTTTATGCCCACTTCGCACAGATTTACGACAGCTGTAGTTCAAAGCAGCGGAGAATCACGCTGGGGTGAACTTTTTACCATTAAGTGCTGGAGCAAATGTTTGCAGGCTCAGTATATAAGAGAAACAGGTTGGATAAAAGGTCGAATTTACATTAAATACCTCTGGAGAAGTAACTGGAGAATTAAAAGTATATCTAATAAAACAAGACGCTTGGTGCATCTTTTAAATCTATGGCCAGATTTTGCCACTTGTTCATACAAAGTAGCACTGATGCCTTGAGAAATCTCCTCGGTCTCAGGGGGACAGGGCAGGGAGTAAGCAGCCAATCCCAAAGACACTCCACACCCTGGGGAATCCCACTGATTTGGTGGGTATGACAGCATACGTTGCCTAAAATTAAGCAGGTTTATACGCCTTGTCAGAAAAAAAGTACTAAGGGTTAGGACAGTGCAAAGAGCATCTGGTCCTGAGTAGTTAATATTGTAACCTGGCAAATTCCATAGCTTGCTGACCTTTCTGTTCCCAAACAAAATGCTAATCACTTCCCACAGATCCTTTTGCAATTATCTCCTGCGAAATCTCCCTAGAGACCAAGAAACTAAAAACCGGGCTCTCGCTTCTCATCATGAAATGCTAGCCTCTGTCAAAATAGATTTCAAGAAATCATTCATTTAACTTTCTTGCTGCTACAATTAAAAAAGAAAAAGGAAAAAAAAAAGAAAAAAAAGGAAAAAAAAAGCAGCAGCTGTTTTCTATTAAAAGCACCAGTGGTGATGGGAGCAAACCAAATTACAGCCTCTGAGGACTACTCCCTGCCTGCAACGCTTGCATCTACTGGAAATGCTGTTGGTATGATGGAAACTTCCATCAACCATTTTATTCAGTGGTGGCAACTAGGGACCGTGTTTGCCTTTTGTACCAGGCATTTATACTTCATTAGTTTATATACTGTTACCAGCTGGGAGCTTGTTCTCTGCCGATGTCTGATTTAGAGGCGTGCGTGAGGAAGGGATGTGATTTACAGACACACACTGGAAAGCCAGTTGCCCTGGATCTTAGTGCAGCATTGGGAACGCCAGTTACTTCCGCCAGCAAGAGCAGCAAACCTGTCAAGCTTCCCACTAGGAGCGCGAGACTCCTGCGGTTGGTGTTTGCTTCGTGCTCTGCTGTTTCTTGCACATTCACAGCAGAAAGCCGCAGCCTCTCTCCCTGCTGCCCAAAGCACTGGCCGCAACTGGTCAGCTCTATCTGCCGTCCCTGTAACAGCTACATGCAGGGTTATACAAAGAGAAGGGCATGCTGTAGTGTTGCTGCACAGCTGAGGCGGGAGCCAGCTAATGACCTTTCTGCTCAAAGGAACCCTGTAAAGCCCCGGAGCAAGCTACCGCTACGGTCCTGCCCATCATATGTCAGTGCACAGTGGACGACTCAATACATCGCTTCTCCTGCATTGCAAGGAAACACAATTCAGAGGGAGGAGATGGAGAGAAGTAGTTTTTCTGTTGTGCCACAGAGATCTCCTGCAAGCAAGGCTTTGCACAGAACAGGGCCTCGTATACTCAGTGCTCTTTTTTACAGTCTGGTTATGGTGGCTGGGAAAGAGGAGTCTGAGCATTTCAAGGACAAATAGGTCTTGCAAGAAAACCATGTGTTTCAAGTTTCGCTCTGGAGGTGGGAATTTCTCCCTCCCATTCCTTAACGTTGCCTCCTCCAAGGAAGAACTGTATCTGCAGCATCATGAGGGCTCTGAAGGGAAGGGTAAAAACTACTGAGGCAGGGCCCACAGGGTTTTACCTGGCTCACAAATACCTAACTCAGAGCAGGTACATTGCCAGACTTCTCATAGGACCCGAATTACCTTCTCTTGCAGGTTTCTTAGGATTAGTGGCCACTGAATATTCACTAGTAAAAATTTGCTCTGTCTCATTCTTATCTTGTGATGCAAATCACAAATAACACCAAATGCTGTTGTGGGGAAAAAGAAATACAAATATTCCTATAGTTATATACCCAAATCTCTCAGGGCAGGATGGGCTCTCAAGGGCCCAAGCCTGTAATTTTTTGAACAGACAGAAAAGCCTGACTGCAGCCTGTGCCTTGCTGCATCACCTCACAGTGCGGCACAGCAATATTTAAGTCCCTGGGGGATTACGAGCACTGCCCTACTGCCTGAGTTTGGGATTAAAAACAGGTCATGGCCAGCCCCAAAGAGAGCAAGCCCTTGTCATGATGGCCAGATCCACACCAGGACCGGGACATCCTCTCTGGGGATGTGGTGCTTCCCCTGGTGGAAATGGCTGGGCTCAGACTGGTGAACAGAAATGCCACATGCATGCTAGCGTGTTTTGACTGGGTAGTCTGGTGGCACTAGTGCTGGAGAGCATCCATGTAAACAATAGCCAGGCAGCCTGCCTCTGGGAGCTGCTGTTAGCTTCTAGGAAAGCAGAGCATGCACACAGATCTCTCTGTTTCGAGTATTGTAGCATCGCAAACAAGATACCCACGGTACTGAAGCCAAGTAACAGGCAGTGGAGGGACTGCCAGCTTTTGTTACACCGATGAACGTCTAAAACCAGTAAAAGCCACATGAGCACACCACCAAGCTCCCTTTCACTGCACTCATCAGTGTAACATCGCGATGCCTCCCAGCTATGCATCAGGAGAAGTGGCTGACATCTGTCCAAAGTTTGTTTCGAAACCCCTTCATGAAATATACACTCACTGTACACACTCTTTACTCTGTGGGGTGGTGGGAAGAGCTGTTTTCATGCACATGGACACAGAGACACCTATTTTGCAGGCATGCTATCAGGAGCACAGTTTGCATTTGGAGTGGAGGATGGGAGAGGCTTGTGACAGCCCTCCTCTCCTGTGGGGGGTTCCTGCCTTGGTCCCCAGGAAAGCCTTTTACCATTCAGAAATCCCTTGGGTGAGGCAGGCAAAGGCTAAGGAAGGGAAGAAGTTTATTTGGCATAGTGGCTAACTCTCAAATACTTTGCAAAGCATCAAGACCCAGTGAGTTGAGTTTTATTACCT